ATACATATATACATATATACATATATACATTTACATACATATATATATATATTGATATGTATTTGGTGTTTATGTATTTGGTGTTTGTAAAGCGAGTACGCTTGTGGAGATTGCCATGAATACGAACGACCGCCGAATGTGGAGAACTTTCTATGTTTCGATTTCACTTGCCAGAGATGATGTATTTTTGTAAATAGATGTACCAGGGGGGGGGTGCTGTGGTGATGCCTGATATTTTTATATTTTGGTGATATGAAATATTCACTGTTCTTATTTATTTGATTAGAAAAGGATATCTTTTCCCATGCATTCTGATGTTTATGTGTCTTACTCTTTGTTATGAAGGCAAAGCGCTCGCGGCATGTAAAGTCAAGGCTAAGGGTAGCAAATCGGTTGCCAAGGCAGTAGCCAACAAAACTCCGGTTGCTAAGGCGTCAAAAAAAGGCAAGGGAAAGGCTAAGGCCACAGCGAAGGCGACTGCGGTAGAGAATGCAAGGAAAACAGCCGCTGTTAAATTGGAAAAGTCTAAAGGTATCCCATATACTTCATAGCTCTTTTTTTAGGGTTTAGGGTTTTAGAATCTACTATCTGTAAGGTTATGAAGTTGGCTTCTGAAGGGGAAAAAGTGATACAATTACATCATACTTTTATAATACTTCTTTTTGTTTTTATATGTGGTTGCTGCCTTCTTCTTTTGCTCCATGTCCATGAGTTCGGCTGATATATAACAATAGGGAAAATTCCTAAGCATGCAGTACTCACTTATCATATTTAAATCGGAAAGTTTGAAGGTATGAAAACCTGATCCCAAAGGGCCCCTTTTGTTTTCTTTTATTGTTTTATACTTTTTTATGTATGTTTTGAAAGAATATAGTATTCTCACCTAGTTCTCTCCATGTAGCTTCGTGAAATGTGCCAATTCGATGAGCCTGACTATGTCTTCTTGCATAGCAATGCCTGTATATCTAATTTACTTTCTCATCATCCTGCTTCAAATCGAAAGGTTTTCGAATTACAGTTGTACTTGCACTTATTGTTTCTGATACAAATACTTACACTTATACATACACTCACTCATATACACACTCATCATAGTCACATTTACACTCATATACACACTCATCATAGTCACATTCACACTCATACTCACGCAGGTGCTGTGTCCGCGTCATACACTATGCTCTCTCTCCGTACCACCATCAATGAGCTGGAGGAATACAGGTGCTTCTACAAGGGCGACAAAGTGGCCTACAGGGCACCCGACAGCAGCCACCTCACAGACCCCTCCACTGCGAGGGGGGCGGCATGTGGGTTTGTCAGACCTAAATGCATTGCGACCCTCCAGGCCGGGTATGTGACTTGCGATGTACATTTTCATTTATAAATGCAGTTGTATTCTTGTT